TTCCAAATGCTTCTTCTGGTAATTTATTAAATGAGTGGGGCAAACAGATCTTTTTGATGTATAATTTATGAAAGTGAGCAATTACAAAGACCGTGCTGTAACATTAGGCTGGTGAAGCAACAGTGCTTGCAACACCATCTTAGTGTCTCCCCTCAGTAAGGGGCATCAACAGTGTGCTTACTTTCTAAGGAAGACAATATTTCCATGGAAAAGTGCTTACAGGTTTCTGTGGCCCCTCCAGTTCTGACAGTATGTTTTTTAGTGCCTGAATGCTCTCCAGAGCTGTAGCATGAGGTTCTGTGTATGTTTACCGCAAAAACATCTACTTTTTTCAGATAAGGATACAAGGTATAAAACATCTACTCCAAGAATTCTGTTGTATTGTAGGTATTGTATCTATAGTCCATTTGAGACTGTCTTCTGGCAGGACGTATAAAGTCATTACAGGATGCTTTAGATATAAAGAGAGGATGGGGCAGGCAGCCCTTGCTTACTGCAGCAATGCTTGATGCCATTGTGTTTGGCTGTGCCCTTCCATGGTGGCTGCACAGTGTCCTTTATCCTTTCTCCATTATCCTGTGTTGCAGGGAGTGCCACCCTCCTGCATCTGCAATAGGAGCACTTGGCTCAAGTGTTGTGTTTTGACAGAGGCAGTAGTGAGGCTCTGGTGGCAGAGCATAAAGGAAAGAAGGTCCACTGGTTGGGGAGGTGGTTCAATGAGTGGGGCCTGAGCAGCGGCCCTACTTGGGCAGGGTAATTCCCTTTGCACGCTGTCCCAAAAAGATTACCAGCATCTGATTGTGACAGTACATGCGCTAGAGAGCATTTGCTGACAGCTCACCTTTTATCTCAACACCTTTGATTCTTGGAGGTGAATGATAGCACTGCAGTGGAATGTGGTCAGCAATAGCATCCTTCTATGACTGAAAGAATCTTCCTGAGCTGCCTTTGTCCCTTGGGCACTTCTGCTCCTGCCTGCCTTGTAGCCAGCACAGTTGCTTTTATAGTCACACTGTGAACTCTAGCAAAGAATTGATGTGGCTGGAGCTGCTTTCATCTGGAGATGCTCTTTTCAGCATTTCAGTTCCTGATCAAGTTCCCCAAGCAACAGCCAGGATACAGGGGTCTTAGTAGAGGTGACTGCCATCAGAAAGATAGCATAGTGACTGCCATAGGAAATGTGATGCTTGTAGTTTATCATGTATTGTAATTTCAGCTAATGTCTTAGATTGCTATAATGAATTTTGAGTTTTAACTGCATTGTGGACTGCTTCAAATTGTAAGGTTTGCCCCCTTTCCTCCCTTCCCGTTGTATGGTGCTTTCCTGCCCATGTTTTTCCCGAAACACCAGTTGTTCCAGTGCTGAAAGAGATTATTAGCTCATGGTGCAACAGAAAGTAACAACTCAGTGTTTTCTTTTGGATCAGTGAATTAGTGCAACTTGTTTGGTTCCATGATCACAAGGCAGGAAAGGAAAACAATCACATCTTTTAAGCAGTATTCTGCCATGAGCTGAAAGGGGAAAAAATCCTGTTTCTGTGTTACAGCTGAGGGCTCCTCAGAGTGGAGAGATCATGACCTGCCTGATTTTGAGCTGCAGTGAGATATTTATTACAGTAGTTGTTGTTATTTGACCTGTTTAGAGGTGAAATTCTTTTCCTGTGGCTACAGAAAAGCAAGATAATACTCCATGGTTTGCAGGTAGCAGGTTTAATGTTTAACCCAGAGGAACAAGATAGTTGTTGCACTTGAATTAGCAATGATTTTTCTAAAGAAAGTAAATTTTCCTGGAAGCATTACCTCCAATACAATTATTTTCAGACAGGTTTGTTAGTATACAATCTTTTGTGTTGCTGGGGGTTTTCTGTTCCAATCTCTACATTAACTTTTTGGCTTCTAGATCTTCAGTCTTCCTACCTGGTAATGGCAAGAGACCTGAAGTCCTTCATTTTGCCTGGTGTTTTGGTAATGGGCTACCATGAGTTCTTTGCTTAGGCATTTGCCTTTTTCCAGAATGTTTTGTGTCATCTGCTGTTGTTGATAGATAAGAAGTCTTTCTCACTGGCAATCTGTATTAGAAGTGTATTTCAACGTTTTTATTGAAACTGAATCTAATACTCTGTCCTCCCATAAGCTTCTGGTAATACCTAGATTATTATATGCTGAATTTATCTCCAACAAGTAGTTAGTAATACTCTTTAAGTATCACAGGTTTAGCATTTTGATTTTCTGAATCTTGGAAGTTATATTTATGTATTTATTTTCGCCTTTTTAGAAACGGCGCTTTTTTTTTTGTATTTTTTTTTTATTTTCTTTTTGCTGCTTAGGATTCTTAATCTGATATGCTGCTCACATTCAGTAAAAAAATGGACTGGAATTAACAAAATGACTGTAATAAGAGGAATAATTAAAACTCCAACACCTTGCATTTAAACTGTTTGGAAAAGGCCTTTTGTGCAAAGGTTATCAGGGACGCAAAGATTCTGCTAAAATAGATGTACAGGGCTGAAATGTTATTATTTTGCTGAGTGGTGCTATTAATCATCCTGATTTAGGAAGTAAAAGCATAAACAGGGTCTGAGTAGCTGTGAGGTTGTATTAATGTGTATTTGTTGCTAGAAACAGCAAATGATAGTGCAGCAGCCTTCTGCTGCTTTCTCTCAATGTGATTTTTTTTTCCTTCTGCCTGTTGTATTTGGCTGTCAAAATCATAAAGGAATAGTTTCTCTGACAAGTCCTGCCCCTTTTCCTGTCTCGGCATAATCCATCCTGCTGAGCATTCTGCAGTGCACTGCGCAAGAGTGGTTGGTCTGTCTCACTTGAGCAAATTACAGGAAGAGCACTGGAGGATGTTCCCAGGGCTGCTGACAGCAGTCACCTGACGTTTGAACACGTGCTGATACCAAGTGCTGACCTCTTCCTTTGCTGTGCGGGCTGATAAGGCATGGCCGAGTGTGGCCGAGTTAGGCTTTGGTGTGGCAGTAATCCACTGAGAACCTGGGTTGATATCAGGGATCTTTAGGAGAGTCGGTGATCTTCCCTTAAATAACTTTGTTTCTGCAGCTGTTGTGCCGGGGAGGAGAGATTCACTTGCAGAATAGGCTGATACACTGTGGGAGATTAAAAACTCAGAGCTTATATGACAGGTTGTTTTGTTTTTATTCCAACTCCAGGTAACGAGAAAATTTGGATTATAAATAGAAAGCTTAACAGTGGGAGTAATATAGTATAGATCATTTGTACACGTGAATGAGTGACCTTCATAACTAACCTATGAGTCATTCCTGTGAGAATAAATTGGACTACAAAACAATTAACTGCAGTGGTTGTGCTTGCTGGTTGATATGCTAGACTGACAAAACTGTCCTTTTTAAAAAATGGACATAGTGCTTGTTTTGGAAATTATAATAATTCCCATATTTCCATGCTCAAGTGTTGGTTAACTTCTATAAAGGTAGCAACAGGTCATCTTTAAATTGGGAAAAACTTGCTTTACTTGGAAAAAAAAAGAGGCTACAAAAACTGTGAGGCAGGAAAAAATCTTGCTTGCCTGTGCATGTAGGATAAAGTTTTGGTCCTGTGTTGTTTTAATAACTATGGATGTTAGGAGAGGGGTAGGGGTATTTTTTAGCAGCTGCCCTTGTTCAGCATAAATACATTGTGACATTTCACATTTAAGTAATTGCACATAAAGCAGATGGTAACTGATATACTTTTATTATCATATTGATTGCTTAATGATGCTTAATTCATATTGCATTAACTTGGTATAAATTGGATAAGTTACTTATTGTAAATCAGCTTGGATTTTTGTGGAGTTACCAGAAGTGGAACAAATACTGCATTTCTGATCTTCTGTTTGTCAGTTGTAGTTCTGAACAGTCAGGTAGTCACAAGTCTCTCCTTGCTTTCATCCCTATATTGCTGCTATCACCAGGTTCTGCATTTTTCATTAAAAGCTTATTCTGAGCTTTCAGTACTGAGTCTCTATGTACAAGACTTGGTAAAATCATTTGTGTTCTCAATAACACTCATTCTGGGAGAATTGTGATTGATGAAGAGAGTGGTTGTAGTTCCTAAACTTTTCTGGTTTTAATCCAAGTATTATATTTATTGACTTTCTGGTTTATTACTGCAGATTTTTTCTGTTGTTCTTTGTCTCAAGAGAATTAGAAAAACGCAATTTTCTGATAATTCTAGTAAATAAAGACTGCTTGTATAGGTGCTGGTGTTGTACCCCATGGCCCGACACCTCCCCCATCTTATTTGTCCTTTGTGGAAAGAGACTATTGTCTTCCTGGTGGGATGGAACAATAGCTGTTCTGAATGACATAACAGTGGAACTAGAATTTGAAATAACATTTTATCCATGACCCCCTTTCTCTGTTTTTGCCCTTCTTCCTCCTGCTTGGTACAGACCTAATGCCTCTTTGGGACACTGTGTGTAGACCTCCATACTTTGCTGCTAAATGTGCATCAGAATACGTGTTTGGAGTATCTAATGTGGCAGGTGCTAAATTAAACACTTGGAACACTTTAGGATTATGAGTCATCAATCCCTGGCTGCTGTTTTTAGATTTCAATAATTAATACAACCGATCTGGAAGTTACTTTTCAGATCATGGTGATCCACAATAAATCTTGAATAGAAATAAGCTGGAAAGTTCAGGTACCTGTATATTGCATTATAAATAATGCAGTATTTTCCATTAGGTTTACTAGTTTTTAATGCTAAACAGATAAAATAAGGAAATCAACTATTTTTTATATATAAAATTACTTTAAGGTCCAGAAGCAAGCAGAATTTAGACCAGAAGGAGCATAGGAATTACCTTTGGGGGAGTCTTAGTTCAGTAGCCTCAAATATTTTAAAGGAAGAATCTTACCTGTTAAAGAAAAATGTTTTGTTTGGGTTTTTTTTTAAGTAAAGAATCCCTAATGATTAAATACAGAATCACTCAGTAATATCGACCGCTTGAACGTTGTCTTCCGTTTTGTAGAAGACCCTTTCGAGGACTTCTTTGGAGGCAGGCGGGGTCCAAGGGGAAGCAGAAACAGAGGCGGTGGAGGATCATTTTTCTCTGCCTTTGGTGGATTCCCTGCTTTTGGAAGTGGTTTCTCTCCATTTGACGCAGGTAAATATAAAAACATTTAAGAAAGAATATAGTGTGAGCTCACAAAGCATTGCAATATAATAACCTGACTTCTCCATTCAGGCAGTTCTGAGACTGATTTTTTTTTTTCCCCTTTTTTTTTTGTTTTGTTTTGTTTTTTTATTAAACTGTTCTCTCTAAGGTGTAAGTATAAATAAAGCCATAGTTAGAGTATTTGGTATTTAATTTCATTTTCCAATTTCATTTGGTATATGAACTGAAAGTTCATAAAGAGTGAACAAATCTCTAAGAAATAGAACTTTCTGTTTTCTTTATTTTGGTGCTACAGTTTCTTTATGGCTTTAGAATTCTTTTCTGTTTGCTTTCAGGAGTGTGATGGCTTTTATTACAGGTCCTGAAAAACATGTACCTAAACCCCATGGTAGTACTTCGTTTGAGTGCTGGGAATCTGGATATTGGTTGGGATGTTACTGACACAGGACTTGTTCTGCCAGCTTGGGGCATCCCAACATCTGCACTAAAGCTGATGATCAGAGTCATTAGAGTTGCTGGCTTTCCCCTGAGTGCAGAGGGTGGATAAAGGTTGAATGCCTTTTCAGGGGAGGAGTTGACAGATGGTTTTTGGGCAATGCTGTGCATTTGGAACTTGAACTGTGGGTGCATATGAGAGAAATGGATGGGGCTGGAGCTGTGGTTTTATTCTCATGCTGGTGTTAATGCCATCTAGTCACTGATGCTGTGTAATGCAAACAGCTGAGGGCTTCCTTAAAAGTAGGATGTAATCTGAGTGGATCCCACAGTCATGCAAAATTACATTTTATTTAAATGCCTTCTTTTTCAATAGGTTTTACTTCATTTGGCTCACTGGGACATGGAGGCCTTACTTCATCGTTCTCCTCTACGTCATTTGGTGGCAGTGGGATGGGAAACTTCAAATCAGTATCAACCTCAACTAAAATAGTTAATGGCAGAAAAATTACTACAAAGAGGTAAGTGATACAAATATGTTTATATGAAACTATATTTACATTCATATAAATATACTGTATCTTTACACACACACATACAGTGACATGTTCTTTTTTTTTACTTTTGTTACTACATTCATCATATTATTTGGATTCCTCTGAATGCTTAAAAACATTTTGAAATATTTTATTGGGTTCTCTGTCTCTTCTTGGCATTGTTGAGTTACTTAGTGCTGGAGCTCTTTCAGGCTTCAGAGCCTGCTGTGTAGTGCTGCACATTTTACTATGACTACTTGACTACTGTCTGCCCAGTCAGCTTGAGCTTCTGGAAGGAAAGTGTGCTTGGTGTCTACTGATTGTGAAGCTTTTAGCTGGGAATTGGGAAGAATTTTAGTTTTCCAGACATGAAAGAATTTTCCCTAGCATCTGCTTAGTGTACTTTCCTAGGCAGTGTTTGAGTGAAGTAATTTTTTTCTGTCTGTTAAGTGAAATAAGCAACTGAAGCCTGCTTTGGAGAAAAATGTGCCTGTTTGTTGGAAAGTGAATTTTCAAGTCCTGTGCACAGTGTACTTTCTCTCCATTTCATGCTTGTGATGGGGACATCATTGCATTTGGGAAACCCAAGTCTTAGTTATAGAATAACCTACATGGAATATTATAATCAATATAGGAATACTGAACAAGTAGTTCAATGTAATTTCATTACTTAATAAAAAAATTACAGAAAAGTAAGGGAGGATGAATTGTTGTTTGTTAACTTCTGTCCCATACTTTTAAGTGCAAGGTTCTTCTGTGAACTTCTGTGCTGGAGAGCTCCTATCATCTTGACCACTTAAAAACAGCCTCTGGATCACATGCTGGTGTGGTCATGGTATTTTTCTGTGAGTGTATTCCAGAAAAATCTGAAAACTCAAAAGCTTTTTAATAATCTCTCTTTCAGACAAGGATACTTGAATTTTATAACATACATGCTGGTCATAACATTCGTGTATAGTTGGCCTACAAATCACTTGATCCAATCAAATTGAAAGTGGATTAAAGACTTTTTGTCTTGTGTGCAAAATTGTGATTAGTTCTGCAATATCATACATTTAACAAATGGCTAGGGACTAAATGCACTGACAAGATTGTGCAGATCTGTCAGAGCATTTAGGCCTAGATAACAGCGTGTAGTGTGAGCACAACTGTGACAGTGTGCCAATGAGATGGCAGCTGTAACTGTGAACTCTACATCCTGGAGGATTCCAACTTCCAGAAGGCAATTTTCCTGACTAAGCAGTGGGGAAATGCAGATGGTTACTGGTGACAGCTCCGGCACTGGTAAATACCAAAGCTTGCCAAGTACAGTTGCATTAAGCAGGTGGTGCTCCTTTACAGTTTGTTATCTAAACCCAGGGTTTGATGTGTGTTTACAACTGTCTGCAGTGCTCTAAAATGGCTCATGGTGTTTTTGTCCTGCAGAATTTTTGAGAATGGACAAGAGAGAGTAGAAGTTGAAGAAGATGGCCAGTTAAGGTCGCTAACAATAAATGGTAAGGAGCAGCTGCTACGCTTGGATAACAAGTAATTCAACGCACGCATTTAACAGAAATTTTAAGCTATAACAGCCACCATTTGAGGATTGACAGGAACATTTTTTGAAGATTTCAAACGAATTCAACTTTCTGTATATCCGTATTCAATCTTAAGTAGTATAAGTAGCTCACAGAAGCTCATATTTGTCATAGACTTTTGAGTTAATTGTTGGGACCACATCAATTGGACCATTTTTTTGTCCTTAAAATTGTTGTAAACTTCTGTATGCACTTTTCTTTTCTTATCTGTGATCAAGGTGAACCATGATCCTTCAGTAGTGCTAGGGCAAGATGTACACTAACACTAGCATGAATCTTGCTTTTTCCAATTTGAAATGTGAGCCAATTAGTAGTTCAAGTCTGCTGTGAAGTTAACAGTTCCAGGATAACCTTTTTAATAATTTCAACTTTTATTTTTTTTTTTTTTTTTAATGTTTAGTAGTGAACAATGTTAATACATTTCTGGTAATGCATTTCTGGTTTAAATAAATTAAGGATGTTTTCTAGTTGTGCATGAATGCAGACAACTTTAGTAAGTTTTGACAAATGTTTAACTGTGTAATGTAAGCAAAAGGTAAACAAAAGTGAAGCCAGTGAGCTGAGTCTTTTGTCATTTGCTAAAAAAAAAAAAAAAATCAAAATGAATAAATGCTGATGTTTGTGGTGCATTCTTTCATGAATGGCATTTGTAACCTTCCTGTGTCTGTGTGTGATTTGGGCAACTTGGGAAAACGGTGCTTTTTTTTTTTTTTTTTCTCCTTACCATCTTTTTCTTCAGTCTTAAGGATGAGGGCCTTTTTTCTTCGCAGATGTTTTCTTCAGTGTGACTGAAAACATGGTTTTTAATTTCATTTCTAAACCTGTATTTGAAGCACCTATTTTTAAGAAGCATTCAGAGGCTGACTCTCTAACTCCATCTTTTGCCCTAATATGTAATTATTTTAGGTCTAGCCCTAAAGCAACTCTATTTTAAAAAAGCTTTCTGAAGTTGTTCTGAGATTTGCTTCAAAAAATAATTGGTAGTAAATATAAATATAAATTTGATAAATTTATTTATTTAACATTTAATAATTACAAAAATGCTTTGAGAATTATGAGATTTTTTTTGCTGTTTTGAAAACAAATAGTAATTGTTTTGAAGATTTGGACACAATTATTAGGATTATGATATCTCCTATCTATATGATAGGATTATTTTTAGTCCTCAACCAAAAATCAGAAGATGGATTAATGCCCTTTGTTAAATTAATGGAGTGAAGTAAAGTGTTTTTATTTTTAGCTAAGACCAGATTTTCAAAGTTTAGTGAAAGATGATTTGGTTTTGATGTGAGAAAGCACGCAGATAACTAATGGTGTATAACACCTGCCAGGTTCTGGATAGTTCCATGCAGAGATCATGGATGTGGAGTTTTCATCTGTGCACCAGCTTTGAACATCTGGCCTTCACAAAACTTCAGGGTGGCTTAGCGTGTTTTTTTTTTTTTTTAAAAAAAAAAAAAAAAAAAAAAAAAAAAAAAGCATGGTGTTTTCAAATGATCACATAATGCCTTCCTGCTGAACACCATCTGCTTTGTACTAACAAATGTGTTGATTATTAAATACATTGAAGAGATATGCTCTTGTTTTTCATGCAGGAGAAGCATTTCAGTTTAAGCCAAAACAAGCTAACAAACTGCTACAACAGAATTTTTATTTGCAGTAAAGTTAGTATATTGTACTTTTGTCCCTCTACCATTAATGCTAATTTGATAGAACTGAAAAAAATAACATGTAGAAGAAAAAATAAATATGTACTTTGGTTTTGGGACTAAGCAGTTATATACCTTTTCAAGTTCTTTGCAGAGTTCCTGTCACTTCAGTGTTGTGTTTTTGATGTAGAAGCACAAACTTAGTTTAGAACTAAACAGTGTTTTCTTGTTAATGCTGTTTTTTCCCTCCCCATGTATGTTACTTCTTGATCCAGATAACTAAACGTGAAATTTATTTCAAAATTTGGCTTTGTTGTGATGTCTTGAGTTATTAAAAATGTTAATTTATATTTATAGGATGCAGTGTGCTCCTTTAAATTATGTAAATTGTAAAAAATGCTTTAAAATTGATTAACCAAGTCAAATAAAATTAGGACAATCTGGAGTTGAGTCTGAATGCCTTCCTCTGGATACCCATAGGCTTTATATTAAAGTGCCAAACTTTGCCTTCTAGTTTTATTCCAAGTCATCTTCTTTAGCATTTAAATTATCTTTCTCAGGTTAAGAACACAATTAGGGTGGCAAATCTGTACCCACATGTTTATCTTCTTACCTAGGAAAGTGTGATCCTTCTCACAGTGTTATGCACAAACAGGTCACACCAGGGTTCTACAGTGAAATTTTTTTAACACTAAATGTGCTCAAGATCCAGTTTTTTGGATAGTCTCTCTTCTGCCTTCAGATCCCCAAAGCTGCTTGTCAGAGCTGGCCAAAATGCAGCATTACAATGGCAGTGCTGCATTTCCTTGGTAGGAAAGCAAAACACAAGGAATGAGTCAGCAGAAGGCAGAATTTGGCAGTAGATTCCTGCAGGAGTGAGATACCCACACACCAGCATTTCCATAGACTGGTGGTTAAACTGGATATGTGGTCTTGGTCCAAATACATCATTGGACCAGCAATTCCAGTTCCAGGTTCAAAAAACAATTCCAGCTCCAGGTTCCTGTCATCATTCACTTGACTTAAACCTAACAGTCTCCATCTCAGTGTGGTTTTTGAAATAACATCACAGTCAACTTTTTTTTTTTTTTTTGATGCAACTTCTTGCATCCAGCTCCTTTTCTTAAAACACAAAATAAATCCACACTCCATGTTATATTCAGAATTTCTTCTGATTAATTTAGTTATTTTCTCCTTAAACCTACTTGCTAGCTTGCTTTTAAAAAAATTTCGTGTTGTTCCTTTCTAATAGATGATTTGCATGGATGTACGAGACCTGTTTATTGGAAGTGATAGGTCATCAAGGGCAGCACATTTCCTTAAAGTTCAGTTTTGGCCAAAATAGTACAAAATAATAACAGAAAACATTCTTGATAGCAAATGCTAGGTACAGATGTACAGTGGGATGAGGCAGCTTTCAAAACCAGGTTCTTTGGGATTTAAAGTGCCATCTTTTCATGCAGGAGGGATTAATTTTGTATGTTTAGGGACACCATCCATTTAAATTAAGCTTCCTGGAAAAACAGCAGTTTGGAAAAACCAAGATGGAGTTTTTGAAGCTGCTAAGTCTTTTACTCTTTCATGCTCTGCTTCAAAGTTCATTGGTGGATACAAGAACTTTGGAATGCTTTCTCCTGGTGCAGCCTCTTTCGGGTCCCTTGTGCATGGCAGTAATTCCAGTACAGCACACTAACCCCAGTTTCTCTGTAGATTGCATGGCACCTACCCCTTCCACTTGGCTTTACTGAAGGAGTTTGGAATTTTGTGTTAGAATGCTTCACATTGTAAAATGGCTGCACTCCTGCAGTGCTCAGCTGTCACAATACCTTCTCTGCTGAGAATCAGAGGGGTTGATTTGTGGTGTAGGTGGCAAAGCTGCTCTGCAGAGAATGTGTACGTAGCATTTGTAAGGTGGATCCTGTATCAACTTGTGATTAATTGATGAGCTGAGTTAGAATGCTGAAAACAAGATTGTAAAAGATTTAAAAACCCATCATCTCTAAGCCCAGAGGGTTTGTATCTCTTCTCAGTGTTTGTGTTTGTTTATCCTGTTTCCTTGACTCCTTCAGTGTTTTGGCATTAGGTGTTACTGGAGGTGTGTCTTTTGTATTAGCTGTGCTGTGTTTCAGACCATCTGTGGGATGGTCCAGTGATAAAGTTAGATTATTTTTTTATTTTTGGAAATGTGAGTTCCTGAATACACTTCTGTTCTGAGAAGTGAGCTTAATACCTCCTTTGCCTGAGTCTAATCTGTGATTGTAACAGGATAGTGCTTCTGAAGATGGTTGTGTTGCAGAATGAATGCTACAGCTGTTTGATGCTTGTGGTCAGAGAACCTTTGAAAAGGGTTCAGTACTTAAAATACTTGTTAACCTTTTTGTGGAAGTGTTTCTTAGTATTTTTGGAAAATCTGTCTATTTGGTTATGATTTTTGGATGTTCTGGTATTTAGGCTTATTTTTAAGTCTTGGTATTCTCATGGGCTAGTGGCAACATGGACATCAGTAATCTGCCAGTCAGCAGTAACCAAGAGTTGAAACTTTCCTTTTTCAACATAAGAAAGCTTGTTTGCACTATCTGCTCCCTCGGGGCTTGTTTACTTTAGGATTGAATTGTGATCACAGACTTGTTTTGCCTAGTACTCAACATAGACAGTTTTCGTTTTCTTGTTATTATTTGTCAAGTGGTTGTTGGTACGGAACTTCTTATCTTCCACCTGAATGCTGAAATGGTCCTTACATTGCACTAGGGATGGAATGAAGAATGTTGACTTTGTAAGTGTTACCAGCTGTACCTTTGAATTTATAATGCTAATGGGTTTCCTACTTGGTTTTGAAAAAAATACCTTGGCTATAGTTGGTTGTTGAGTGAAGTGCGCTGCTGAAAGGTTAGAGCTGAGCTCTGCTGTATAGGTCATACATTCACAAAATAATAAACTTCATGTTTGAGATGCTGCTGTCAGATTAAAAAAACCCAAAAGAATTAAAATTCTGTGATGATCAGAGCCATAACCGTGAACCTCTGCAAACTGTGCTGATTTAAACTCATGGAAACTTGTCTGAAAACTCTGTTCTGGCAGACTCAGCGCTGCATTATTAGGTGTTATCTCACTTACAACAGCTGGTAGAAAGTTAATCAAAACCCCACATGAGTACTCTATGCTCTGTCATGCTGCTGTGGCCAAAAGATACGCAGGAGTTTGGAGGTGATAGTGCCCAGGCCTGAAAGCTGGGCTCTCCTGGTGTGAGGTAGTTGCACTGATGGCCTGACTGCTAATTACCTTTTAAATAAGGGATGTGGAGGACTTTCAGATGTTGTTAGCTTCAAAGTGTTGTGGTGGGAATTAAAGTATGTTTAATTGAGAAGATCAGTAAAACATTTTACCAGAAGGACACTGTTAAATAGAATTCTCTTTCGTTTCTCTGGCTTTTACAATAAAGTTAACTGCAGCTAGGTAATTTTTGAACCTGACTTGAAACTGACAGTCAAGAAAATGTATTTCTAGAGGCTTCTGGTAATTACTCTTAAAATTTAGCTTTGGCCTATAGCTTATCCTTACCTCTGAATCCCAGATGAGGACTCTTCTCTCTCTTCAATGCAATCAACTTCCAAGTGAATTTCATAAAAATAGGCAAAGCAAAAGGCTGTAGCTGCTAGTTTACCAGAAGTGAAAGTAAAGCTGAATCCGTTCATGCACCTGAATGTTAGGGAGAGATTGAATTGTAACACCTAGTTTGTAAAAGCTCATGTGAAGTTGCTGGTCTGTTACATGATAAAACAGGTAACATGGTACATTGAGAACCCTTCAGTTCCTCCTTTTTTTGACTGTTAAAAGTCAAATTTGAAATTTCCTGTGTTGTTTCTTGTAAATTTATTTGAGTTACTAGAATGAGAGAGGAATACAGCCTGGGTGACTGGTCATAGAATTCATATTGTGGAACACACATTCTTGATGGCCAGAAAGGAGAATTACTCAGCTGTGTCTGTAACAGTTGCTTGAAGGTGTTACTAAACCAGCTGAAAATGCAAAGAAATAGCTCTGGAATCTTCTGTCTTGGTTCCAGTCACAAGCTCGATTGAATTGTGGTGCAGGAGGGGAGTTTACCTCCCAATAATAAAAAAAGTCACCGGGCTTCAGAGGCTTAGAGACATCTGATAGAGAAGCTGGGCAGCCTCATCCATCTTTGGGTTTCCCTTCAGAAATATGTGCCAAGTCTGTGTTAATATTTGTAACTGATAAACAGAGTAAGATTAACTTGCTTATTTATCACACATTTGCATAACTGTCACCATAGCCACCTCTGGCAAAGTTTTCTCCTAGACATGTAGTTGGAGGCTGCCTTTTACTCTTTACAGGAATATTTTTCATCCTGTTGTGATACTCATCATACTGAGCAACAGAAATATTGTGCTTTGCTTTTGTGAAAGAGCATTCTGCAGTATCAGTCTCTGTCATTCTCCTTCCAGGGGGAGCTAGACTGTGGATGTTCTAAAATTGTTTTGAACTTCTCTGTGAAAGTATTTTTGGAGGAAAATGGAGAAAACTCACATGGCCAAGGCTCGGCCTTTCCTGCAGAGTTTCTTAGCCAGAGGATTAGGCCTTCTGTCTCCAGAAAACTTGGCCAGGCTTTCTGTAATAACACTGCCTCTCATCAGAAGGCACTTTGGTGCTTTGAGTTGTTTGGACATCTCCTGTTAAGTAGTCTCTCGGACACCCCTGAGAATTACTTTGCCAATCTCATTTCTTACTGCTGGGTGCCTATGGAAATACGGTCAGGTCCTTATCACCAAATGTACTGCACTTTGATAATGAAAGGGCATTATTCATCTCTTCTACACAAAGTGGGAGCTGGGCATCCAGGAGAGCAGTAGAGAGCTAGAAATTCACTTAGAGCTATTTTGGGTGTATCAGGTACTGTGTGCAAGCAGGAGTAGCGTTCGCAAAACTCCTGCCCTCGGTTTTTGACTGAGCTCCTGAGTAATTGCAAAGAAGTAGATTTTTCTCTTGGGGACATTCACCTTGAGAGTTAGGACAACCATCAAAATGTTTCTTTTATTAAACACCTCTAGTGTTCCTTCTGTCTTTTCTGGAATTGGATGGCTTATCCCTGAGAAGAACAGCAAATCTTAAGGTCCCTGAAACCAGTAAGGGAGAAGCAGGAAAACAATGCAGCTTGTTTTGTGCTGTTGACATAAATTTCAAGGACTTTTCTCCTCATTTGGCTTTTGCCTTTCTCATCAGGAAAACACGATCACGAGTTACCACAGTGAATGCAGAAGTGGTGGGTGTTGGTCTGTGTCTCCTCCTCCAGTGAACCCTGCCTGTTCTCTGCTGCCCAGGCTCAGGGCTGCTCTGGAGGCTGTTTCCTTGCCAGCACAAGCAAGGGAGGTGCTTCTGCAGCCTGAGGATGGTGTGCCAAATTCCACTTTGATTCTAAAAAAATGT